GGTCTTAATCTGAAGAGACAACAGCAACAACACTGAAGATCACGAAACAAACGCTTGTGATACACTAATACTAATAACAATGGCACTCCCACCTCACCTGACTCTTCCTGTCCAAGTTCTCTTGCAGTGCTTTAACACTGGCCAGATCAACGTAGACCTCATCCAGCTGCGATTGTAAGTTCTGCGTGAACTCTCGATTCGCCTCAAGATCAGCCTGCAATTGGACACACATTCGATCCGCCTGATTGGCGCGGTCAATCGCTTCTTGCAGAGACTTTTCATTTGCCACTTTTTCCTCCTTTAGATGATTACACCTACGCCGGTTAAATTGAGTCAAAGCCACACTCACCTTTCATTCATACCCGCCAATACAGATGACATTCCATCCATCTTTTCTTGAAGGTCACCGGCACGCTTATTGCTGGCCTCGAGTTCAGCCGATACACTCTAGCACGAGATTATTTTGCTGGTAGCAACAATCTACTCAAATAAAAAAGTAGTATATCAAACGCATACCCGAAGCTTTTCAGAAAATCCCTTGTTCAAAGCTACCATAGCTGCAATTTGACTTCTATACTCCGTCAGACAAGTTTCCCTTTCACTGCTCAATGTCTTTAAACGTGTCAACTCGGTTTCAGCAGCACATCTGGCTTCCCTCTCGTGGGCAAGAGATTCTTCGGAAGCCTGAGTTGGAAACGACTCGACAACATAGACATAACAATGAAATGCGTAAAACACTCTCCAAGCCACCACTCACAAGTCTACGCCTCTTCTCCTCGTTCAGCTGGCGTTCAAGTTCCAGGTTCTGCGTATCCAGAGATAAGCTTGAATGTTTGAAGGTCTCACGAACAACCTCTAGTTCACTTTGCACCTCCTGCTAACAATAAAGTACTTAATACACGTAATAGTTGAGTTGCCTTAGATTGTCGAACGAGGAGACTAGATAACCTATTGTTCTCCTCTCCCAGCTTGGAAATTTCGGCTTCCATATCAGCCTTAACTTCTCGAAGAGTAGAATTTTCAGATGTCAAAGTGGTCACCTCCTTGTCCAGTTCATCCAGACGAGATCTGAAAGAAGAAAGCATTAAAGAATCTCATTGTTATACCGAGCCGTTGACACAGCCTCCTCCAAATAACTCTTTTGCTCAATCAACGATGAAAGACACTTTTCAAACCCATGTCTAAGGCGCAAAAGATTAACAAAACATCATTTCATTTACTGAGTGTGGCTTTCTTCTGATGAACCATTACTGGAATGTGGATCTATGCACCACTGATAGTCAATAGGAGCCAACTAAAAGAAATTGTCATACTTTTTAAAAACTCACTGGAGCATCAAGTAGAGACAAATTATCTTTCAGAACAAAGCAGAAGTCAATGACATTTAAACCATTGAGAAGATCCGCAAATGCCATAGCCTCATTCGACATCAACAGTGCACCCTGTGCGTAAGCGTCAGAAATCGAGATAAATTTTGATGAGAGACTCCCACGTGAAACAGGAATTCTCTTTACATCTTTTATTTCAGCAAACTGTCTTATAAACAAACCCAGTTGCTGCGGAGTGTGAGTAAC